CCCATTAAATTAAGGCTCTAGCAAGCTGCAGGGGAGTGATGGCACAGAAGAAGAAGAAGAAGAAGGAAAACAGCAGAGATCTCACCCCAACACGCGCCCACAAAACCAAAATCCATCAAGATGGCCTCGATGACCCCGCAGGGATCTCCCACCAGCTGCTTCCAGAGCCCTACAGCAGAAATGCCCCAAAGAAAGTTTTGTGCTCCTTGGTGTAATCCACCAGCTTGATGTCACTCACGTTGACCATCAGCTTGTCTCCCACCTCCAAGGAGACAACAGCGCCCAAATAAATGGGCTGGAACCAACCATTGCCGTTCTCACTGAGGGTCTTGGTGCCCGTCAGCAGCTGGGTGGGCTCGGGGTAGCTGTCGGTGACCTTGGTGATGATCTCAGTGACAGAGCTGGCCTTGTGGCTGCTCTCAACGGGCCCTCGGAAGGTGACCTGGGCGTACACGTAGTAGTCCCCAGAGACAGGAATCACCAGGGCGTTGCTGGAATAACTCAGGTTGTTCTTGGTGAAGGCCAAGCCTCGCTTGTCTTCCCACTGCAGGATGGGCAGGTGGCTCCCCACGGTGCTGGCCAGGTCCTGCTTCTTCACTGAGGGAGAGAGAGGGAGAGGAGGGTGGGTGAGGTTGCCATGACCAGGGGTGTGGATGTAGAAATCTCTGCTCCAAAAGGGGAAGAATTTAAATAATTTGAGCAAAATGCTGGGGCAGCAATGTTGTTGCCCTGATTCTTAAGATTTTCTAAAGCCTTCTGAGTTAAGATTCTCATAAAAAACTGTCTCACACAACCTTCTGTAAACTATCTATTGTTTTGCATTCCTCCATAAAGGCAGAAAAACTTAATGTGCTAGTAGTTTGTCCAACATCATTGGAGAGGTGGCACATTCACCCTCCAATCCACTGTCACCTTTAAAAAAGTATAAATACTACAGTCAAAAAATAAACTTCTTCTTTTTCACCTTTGCAATAGCAGCGGCTCATGTCGTGCTTTCACGTGTCCTGTAGTGACACAATGTTCTTATTTCACAGCTTGATAACTGAGCTGGATGGGCTGCAGGACAAGTGTCCAGTGGTATTTTCACACTGGGTGTCCAGGTCTGAGCTGCCAGGGCTAAAAGCCAAGGGTGCTCCAAGAAGATCTTGACAGTGTAAGCTGTGCCTGGGGGTCCTGGTTGTGGGTCAGACCCCAAAGGATGAGCTGTCCCTCCTCAAGGCTGAGTCTGTGGAAATCCAGGGAATCCTTCTGGCTGCCCTGGCAGG